ATATTTTGAACCTTCCCCTCAAAAGGTCATAATTTCGAATAAATAGAAAATTAATAGTTTTTAAAAATTTGAAATTGGTGTCCTATTTTTCTTCAAAATTAGCACTTTTCAATATTTCTACAAATAAAACTTCCTTTGACACCTATCTTACAAAACTTCTAAGATTCTAAAGAACTAGTTAGAAAGTTTCAATAGTCTCAGCATTTGACCAGTTTTTTATGTACACGTATTTTGAGACGTACCAAAAGATTGGGCGCACATATCCCCACTTTTCACCAGATCGAATACAAATATTAAAGTGTGCAAAATAATTTATAATTTTATAAAGCTATGTTTATGAAAAATAGTGTACCAATATATTCCAATGATTGCTCCTGACCCAAATTTGATATAAATATTACCACGGACCAAATTAGTCCTATATCGGGAAAATTATTCGATATACATTAAATATATGTATAGTATTTTTCCAAATTTTTAAACGGTTGTGAGGAACGAGTGGTCGAATATATCCCATTTTCACACTATCACAAATATAGAAAAAATATTAAAATGTGAAATGTTTGAAAAAATTGGACATTGGCATTGGACATAAAGGAGTTGTCATTAAAATTGTTGATCATTTGTGTTTGAGGTACAGAAATGGGTGGATCTATGGTGTCCATTTTAAATTCTGACCTATGTCTAATTATACGCTACACCACACTGTGGTCTGGGTATTATGTATTTGTGCATTTGTTTGTAAAATGGAGAAGGAAGCGAGATATACCTATAGTTGCTTTTGATGATCTGAATAGAATCAAATTCTGAGTCGATTTATGCATGTCCATCCGTCCATGTTTTTTGGTAAACAAAGTACAAGTCGCATGTATTAGCCTATTGAGGTGAAATTTTAACAAAATCATTTGTTTGACCGAAGGAGAAACCCTATTGAAATTGAAGAAAATCTGTCAAAATTTCGATATAGGTTCCATACATATCTTCGTCCGATTCGTCTTTTATTGCTCACCAAATGTGTAATATTAGTCCAATTAAGATTGAATATGTAGCGTACGACCAAATTGACCATAGAAGCAGGTATGTCAAATTTGAAGAAAATCTATATCTATAAAAGAGGAAAATGTTTGTACGTTTGTTTGTTTGTTTGTTTGTTTGTTTGTAATTTATGGACTCGAAAACTGCTGAATAGATTTTTCTGAAAATTTCCATATATACTGCAACATCGCCTGAAAGTAACATAGGCTATATACATTTTTGAATTTCCACTTGGAACTGGAGATATAGCATCAGAATCGGAGGTACCTCCCAAAAATTTAGATTTTATATGCACATATCTATTGATCGGTTAAAGATACAGTCTCCAAATTTGGAATGTGTAACGGAATTTGGAACAAAAATAAGTTTGGTAAATTATATTGTAATCGGTTCAGATTTGGATATAGCTCCCATATATATTTTCGACCGATTTCGTTCATTTGATGCCTCAAACACAATATGAATGTTCCATTCCAATGAAATTTGGAATATGTGACGGGATTTGATCCGAAAATAAATTTGTCAAATTATATTGAAATCGGTTCAGATTTGGATATAGCTCCCATATATATTTTCGGCCGATTTCAAGCATTTGATGCACCAAACACGCTATGTATCCCCAATTTCAATGAAATTTGAAACGTGTGATAGATTTTATCTAAAAAAAAATTATTTCCCAAATTATATTGAAATCGGTTCAGATTTGGATATAGCTCTCATATACATTTTCGGCCGATTTCATGTATTTGGTGGACCAAACAAGATATGTATGTCCAAATTTAATGAAATTTAAAATAAGTAACGGAATCGGGAGCAAAAATGAATTTTTCAAATTATATTGAAATCGGTTCAGATTTGGATATAGCTCCCATATATATTTTCGGCCGATTTCAAGCATTTGATGCACCAAACACGCTATGTATCCCCAATTTCAATGAAATTTGAAACGTGTGATAGATTTTATCTAAAAAAAATTATTTCCCAAATTATATTGAAATCGGTTCAGATTTGGATATAGCTCCCATATACATTCTCGGCCGATTTCATGTATTTGGTGGACCAAACAAGATATGTATGTCCAAATTTAATGAAATTTAAAATAAGTAACGGAATCGGGAGCAAAAATGAATTTTTCAAATTATATTGAAATCGGTTCAGATTTGGATATAGCTCCCATATATATTTTCGGCCGATTTCAAGCATTTGATGCACCAAACACGCTATGTATCCCCAATTTCAATGAAATTTGAAACGTGTGATAGATTTTATCTAAAAAAAATTATTTCCCAAATTATATTGAAATCGGTTCAGATTTGGATATAGCTCCCATATACATTTTCGGCCGATTTCATGTATTTGGTGGACCAAACAAGATATGTATGTCCAAATTTAATGAAATTTAAAATAAGTAACGGAATCGGGAGCAAAAATGAATTTTTCAAATTATATTGAAATCGGTTCAGATTTGGATATAGCTCCCATATATATTTTCGACCGATTTCAAGCATTTGATGCACCAAACACGCTATGTATCCCCAATTTCAATGAAATTTGAAACGTGTGATAGATTTTATCTAAAAAAAATTATTTCCCAAATTATATTGAAATCGGTTCAGATTTGGATATAGCTCTCATATACATTTTCGGCCGATTTCATGTATTTGGTGGACCAAACAAGATATGTATGTCCAAATTTAATGAAATTTAAAATAAGTAACGGAATCGGGAGCAAAAATGAATTTTTCAAATTATATTGAAATCGGTTCAGATTTGGATATAGCTCCCATATATATTTTCGGCCGATTTCAAGCATTTGATGCACCAAACACGCTATGTATCCCCAATTTCAATGAAATTTGAAACGTGTGATAGATTTTATCTAAAAAAAATTATTTCCCAAATTATATTGAAATCGGTTCAGATTTGGATATAGCTCTCATATACATTTTCGGCCGATTTCATGTATTTGGTGGACCAAACAAGATATGTATGTCCAAATTTAATGAAATTTAAAATAAGTAACGGAATCGGGAGCAAAAATGAATTTTTCAAATTATATTGAAATCGGTTCAGATTTGGATATAGCTCCCATATATATTTTCGGCCGATTTCAAGCATTTGATGCACCAAACACGCTATGTATCCCCAATTTCAATGAAATTTGAAACGTGTGATAGATTTTATCTAAAAAAAATTATTTCCCAAATTATATTGAAATCGGTTCAGATTTGGATATAGCTCCCATATACATTTTCGGCCGATTTCATGTATTTGGTGGACCAAACAAGATATGTATGTCCAAATTTAATGAAATTTAAAATAAGTAACGGAATCGGGAGCAAAAATGAATTTTTCAAATTATATTGAAATCGGTTCAGATTTGGATATAGCTCCCATATATATTTTCGACCGATTTCAAGCATTTGATGCACCAAACACGCTATGTATCCCCAATTTCAATGAAATTTGAAACGTGTGATAGATTTTATCTAAAAAAAATTATTTCCCAAATTATATTGAAATCGGTTCAGATTTGGATATAGCTCTCATATACATTTTCGGCCGATTTCATGTATTTGGTGGACCAAACAAGATATGTATGTCCAAATTTAATGAAATTTAAAATAAGTAACGGAATCGGGAGCAAAAATGAATTTTTCAAATTATATTGAAATCGGTTCAGATTTGGATATAGCTCCCATATATATTTTCGACCGATTTCATGTATTTGATGCACCAAACACGCTATGTGTCTCTAATTTCAATGAAATTTGAAATGTGTAGCGGAAATTAAAACAAATATACATTTGTCAAATTATATTAAAATCGGTTCAGATTTAGATATAGCTCTCATATATATTTTCGACCGATTTATGCACCATACACGATATGTATGTTCGATTCCAAAGAAATTTGGAATATGTAACGGGATTTTGATTAGAAAATAAATTAGTCGAATTATATTAAAATCGGTTCAGATTTGGATATAGCTCCCATATATATTATCCGCCGATTTCACATATTTGATGCACAAAACACGATACGTATTTCCGATTCTAACGAAATTCGGCATGAGTGGCTAAATTTGGTACAAAAATAAATTTGACAAATTATATTCAAATACGCTCAGATGTGATTATAGCTCCATATATATACTCAGCCGATTTCACATATTTGATGCACCCAAAGCGAGAGAGACAAAATCTGGCACCAGCAAAAATTGCCAAATTATATTGAAATCAGTTGAGGTTTGGATATAGCTAACATATATATTTCGGCCGATTTCATACATATTATGCACCAAACACGATATATGACCGATTCCAATGAAATTCAGAATGTGTGGCGGAATTTTGTTATAATAATAAATGTGATAAATTAATTGGAAATTAGTTAAGATTTGGATATAGCTCCCATATATATATTCTCGGCCGATTTCACATATTTGACGCACCAATTTCAATTAAATATGAAAGGTGTGGCGGAGTTTGGTGTAAAAGTAATTTTTTTTAATTATATTTAAATCGGATCAGATTGGGATATGATTTTAATAAGAACCATTGACCCACAACGCCTTAGGCTAACACTAAAAAACAACACAACAATTTATTTGAAATACGCTTATTACGGCGAAGTATGTTGCTATCTCGAATTCACTACTTGCAATAGAAATGCCACTCTACTTAAAAAAATTGCAGTTTCCTGCACGCTTGGTATTTGCTATGAAATAAATAAATCCAAAGGACAAACCCTTCGTGTATGTATGTCATGTTACTGCTTTTCTAATGGTTTTGGTTATTTACGCCTTAAATTAGTGCAATATTTTTTTTTTAATTTTTAAATTTGTTTTTCTTTATCCAACATATATTCGTAAATAAAATTTTGAATGCATATAAAATCAAAAGGGGTAGCGAAGCGCACCGGGTTCAGCTAGTCATCTATATATATAAAAGAAAGTTGTGTTAGTTACTACGCTTATAACTTAAGAACCGCTGGACTGATTTTAATGATTCACACAAATTCTGAATTGTCTCCTCTCCGAAAAGGATAATATCCAAAAAAATCGCGGAAAAATGTGATATATTAACATTTTCATTTTGACTTTTAAAATGTACAATAGTAATGTTTTATTTTGCATGATTTTTTTCCATTTCGACTTACTTTTTTCTAATGTACATTTGTAGTGTTTTTATATTTTATTTTTGAATTCGAATACTAATACCAATTTATTAAATTGACTTGATTTCTTGAGAACTGAAATTGATGGCGGGTTACATGGAAGTGTAGTACCGAATTATGTGGTGGCGATACGGAATAGGTGATATCGAAATAATTTAACGCGGTCACACCAAAGTTAAAAGATAATTACTTTTTAAAAAATCGCTAAAAAATCACGAAAAAGAGATCTCATTGCAAAAATTCTCAAGTCTGGAAAAAATCGAAAAAAAATCAATAGAATCGAATTTTAAGATCTTTAAACATTTGCTGTAAAAAATCAGCGAACAAGTTGAAGATTTTTTCAATTTTTTATTCTTCTTTTGTCAATTTCGTTCAATTTGTATTATCATATTGATTTTTTGTGAACAAAATAAAGAATAATTTTTCACTATATACAATTTTTCACCAAAAAAATGAAATAAGTGCGAAATAGGATATTAACTGACATCTACCCTTCAACTCCAGGGCCTACATCGTGGTGCAGCTGGAAGATGCGAACACATTTAAACAAACAAAAATGACCGAAAAAGTCTAATGAGGCTCATTTCAAAGCATGGACCTACTTCTTTCATGTGACAATAATCCGTCCAATGAGAGCTCAAAATGCAAAATTCTTTGGGAGTACAATCAGTAAAATACTAAAATTAAAGGGTGCAAAATAGTAGAGCGAATGGGACTTTTAGTAAGAAAAGGATTTATATCCTTCCAGAAATTCTTCCCAAACATTCAAGATACCTTAAATCGCTTTTGCAGGTTTTGATATCGACCATAACTCACGGATAAGGGTACAACCCGATTTCATATTTATATAACCATCTATGATTTAAGCTATTTTTGGGGTCTTTGCCACTTTTTTCATTTTTTGGCCCTTATTTATCATTTTTGTTTCTAAGGGGATAGAGAACCTCTTCGCATAAACTTTGAAATTTTCAGAGTAGGCCCATATTGGTTTGACCACCTTCATCAATTGATTTGGCTAAAAAAATGTATGGGGTAGCATCATGCAGATAATTGCCACATAGGAATTTATTTAAGTAAAGTCCCCACATTGGTGTATCCCCAAGTCCACTTTCACATCTAATGTGTGGTCACAACAGAAGATTTTGTATTTTATTGAATTTGTAACCCCCAGGAGAATATTTGTTGGGTCACGTTTTATCCTGGTATATCCTTCGTCATTTAATTTTACTATGAACAAGAACATAGACTCTTTGGGGACGCTAATGCGCAATTTGAGGTGCTATGGTAATGGGTTTTAAAGCGTAATTAACTTTGACTATTCAGAAGATATTTATTTCTATTTAGTCGGATCAATATTTATATTAAAATTTGTTCACCTTTATGAACTAGATTTGTGAAAGATTATGATATATAAAATTTACATTACAGGCTAAAGTTTAAGATAAAGCTATAGCTCTCCTATATATTTTTCATCATTATTTTTGTCCCCCATAGCCGTAATATGCACTCCACAACAACGATATTCGGAAAAATATATCAAACACAGCTCAGAACAATCTTTGCCAAATTTTCTCGAGATCGGTTCAGATTCGGGTGTATATATCCCATATATATCTTTATCCGATTTCAGGGTTATGGCCAAAAAATTATTAATATAAGCCCAAATGGAGTAGATTTTTGCCCATACGACCAAATTCAGCCTAGAAGCAAATGCCTCAAAGTTGGCAAAATCGGTTCAGATATGGCTATATATCTTATATATTTGATTCACCAGATTTGTGGTTTAAGTCCCTCACATATATATTCTAGAAATACCTCTGCCAAATTGCATCGAGATCTGTTCAGGTTTGGATAGATCGAATTCAGCCTGGGAGAAAGTGTGTCAAATTTCGTGAGAATCGGTTCAGATACAGATATGTATTTAAGTCCCTCTCATCTATAAAATTGACTCCACAACAATGGTATTTGGTGCTAGTTATCGGATGCAACTTAGAAATACCTCCGCTAAATGTTATGGAGATCGGTTCAAATTTGGATATAGTTCGCATAGCTCCATTCCCCATATAAATGTTTATTTGTTATGGGTAGCTCTACTCAATAAGCATAGTGGTGTGGGGTATCATAAAGTCGGCCCGTCCTACTTTTGACCTAAATAAAAAAATTATAAACCACATTGCACACTCCCATTGCTCAATATGAGATTAGTAGACAACATTTTTGAAGTTTCGCGTAAGAGGTACCAGACTTGAGAGGCGTTTTCACACTTCCTCTATAAAAGGCAAATATATCGACGCATGCTCACTTTGAAATTTCATAAATTTCGAGAGTTTTTACCAAAATGTGGATCACTGTGTAATTATTGTAATTATAAATATTAACATGTGCAAATTTTGAACTGTATATACCCACAATGAATATGGACCGGATCTGGAACTCTCTTTGAAAGTTTGGCGAGAATATCCCAAGGTGTTCAGAAATTCATTCAATGTTAACGGTTTAACGGATTTTCCAGTCAAACGTCTGTCAATAAATTGAAGGACTGCACTCATATAGACCATCCTCATAACCGATCTTGATTTTAGAAAAATATTAGAAATTGAACCCTATGAGATTGACGGTTGTTTATATTTTTGTCTCAATATGGAAAAAATCCCAGAGAGAGAGAGAGAGAGAGAGAGAGAGATGATATTGTTATAGCATATGCAATTCTGAATGTATCAAATATATATTTTCTGTAAGCGTACGTATGAGAATATCAACAATTATCGATACTTATATATTCCCTTCAAATATTGTACCACAGAAATCATAAAATTGGGGAAGAATACTTCAGAAATACAGAGAATACCCAGAAAGCATTTCAGAACTAAAAATTAATTTCTATGTAAAATTAGAAAAAGAGAAGATTTCGAAGTTCGGCTGTTCCCCAGGGCTTCTCGGTGTGCGTTCCTGCAGAGGCCTCTTTGTTTAGCACGTATTCGAAGGTCTAGAAATATACATAAATATTTTTTCAATTTCACATGCAAAATCTTTTTCTTTACGGAAATCTTATATTCAAAGATAGATAGATAGATAGATAGATAGATAGAGAGAGAGAGGGAGAGAGACCAATTAATTTCACCTTCATGGGATACACATTATCATTCTCAAAGAAATGAAAATATGGAAAATATGGTTTCTATAAAAAAAGTTCTACTCTTTGGAAATTCTACATAACTACTAAATGAGAGTGTACATATTTCAAAAATTAGATGTGTAAATAAATATGTACAAGTACGTATGTAAGTAAGTTTACTATCACATGTGTTTTTTTGGTTTTGGTTTCTATTAACTTAATAACTATGTATGTATGTAAGTATGTTTGCTTGTGTACTAAAATCATAAAAAATACCATCATTACATTGTTACACGAGAGAGAGAGAGGAGATGGGTGGGAAGCCTTTCGAATACGTATCCTTCCAATTAGTGTCTTTCCTGTTTTTTTTTTTGATCCTATTCATATCTCTTTTTGTTTTATGCACAGTTTCATTGTCGATTTGTATAAATTCCTAAAAATTTCTTCTGAGATACATTTTGTTGTCTTTTTCCAGTTTCAATGATTTTTTTGGTTGGCTAACCTATTTTCAGGCCACAATGGCATAGTTTCCAGTCAATTCAAAAGGACTTGTTTTGGCCGAATGTGTAAAATTGTTTTTGGGTGAAAAATCAACAGGTTGATCTTGCAGTTGTTCGCTAGGTGGCGCTGCTGTTGTATTATAAAATTGGACTTGCATGTGGGTGGTGGTGGAGGCGTTGGTTGGAGGAGCCTGGCTTACATCCACACTCAGATGGCCAGATGAAAATAGATGACCTCCACCCGATAGACTGGTGATGGCTGGTGTCTGTATAACACTTATACGTTTATAATGATCATAATCCTCCGCGCCCATTGGACTGGTCAACATTGTATAGGATTTTTGGTGTTGTTGCTGCTGCTGCTGCTGTGGCCTATCCATCCCAGTTTCACTGGCCAATGCAATTATTTGTAACCCTCCTGAATTGGCATTTGTAGCCGCCATACTGGCATATTGTAATACTGTCTGCTGTCGTTCTTTTTCCTTTTGCAATAGCTTGGTGGCCAATGTGGATTTAGCCGATTCGGCAAGATTACCAAGATTGTTAACATGATTTTGTCCATAATTACTTGATGTCATGTTGTTTTTTGGGGTTTGCTGATGGCTATGCTGGGATCGATTGGATCGTACTTCCTTGTCAGATCTATGGTGATTTTTCAAACACGAAGACTCTTCATGTTTATACAGGTAGGATTTGAGGGCAAATGCTTTGCCGCATCGTTTGCAGGTGTGTGGTTTTGTATTCGAATGCGTCTGTATGTGTGCACGTAAGTTTGATTTGTCGGCAAAGGCTTTGGTGCAAACGTTGCATTTGAAGGGCTTTTCACCTGAAATGAGAGAATGTGAGAATTTGTTTAAATATTTTATTAGGATATTTGGATATAAATCAGTGGGGGAAAATGATAAATGTACACTCTTGATCATATGTACATCTCTAGCACAAAATCATTGCACGAAACGGCATTATTCGCCGGAATGGTATCAATTTTCGTATTTGAAGTCCCTAATGTGCGTCCTGGTCTTCGTAGAGTCCCCATTTAGTACTCCCCTATATTCGTCTGTTGTAATCATTCAAGAGTCAAAACGAATAAAGATAAAAGCTAAAATTTTGCACAGATCAGTCTTTTGTCTGCAGGCAGGTCAAATTCGAAGATTTACTTCATCGGTCACGATATCATATAGCCCCATATAACTGTACCCCTGATATTCGGTATTTTGATGATTGTAGGCAAATTTTTCAATAAAATTGTCTGTTCGGAATTTTGATGATTTTAGGGACATTATTGACTAGAATTGTTTTAAATTTCGTATTTAGAGTTCGTAATGGGTACTACAATCTATGACAAAAAATTGCGTTGCAGGCCCACATCTTCATATAGCATCTATATTACGGTACCTCCCTACATTCGATATTTTGACGATTTTAGGTACCCTATTTACCGAAATTATTTCAAATTTCGTATTTGAAGTTTCTAATAGCTACTACAGCCTGTGATAGAAAATTGTCTATGCTGGTTCAGGTCTTCGTATGGGCCCCATACATCGGTACCTCCGTATATACGGTATTTTGACGATTTAAGGTAGAATTTTCACCGAAATTGTTTGAAATTTCGTATTTGAAATTTCAAATAGGTACTACAGCCTACCACAAAAAATGCGTATGCAGGCCCACGTCTTCGTATAGTTTCCATATAACGGTACCCCTCAACGTTCGGTATTTTTTTGATTTTAGCGACAATATTAACCGCAATTGTTTGAAATTTCGTATTTGAAGTTTCTAATAGCTACTACAGCCTGTGACAGGAAATTGTCTATACAGGTCCAGGTCTTCGCAAAACCCATATATCGGTACCTTCCTATATGCGGTATTTGATTTGTTTGAAATTTCGTATTTGAAGTTCCTAATAGGTATTGGAGACTGTGACAGAAAGTTGTCTATGGAGGTCAAGGATGATTTCAGCTAAATTATTCACCGGAGATCTTTCAAAATTTCGTATTTAGAGTTCGTATAGGCCACATACATCGGTACCTCCCTATATTGGTATTTCGACGATTTTAGGTTAGGAGATTTCGTATTTAAAGTTCTTAATAGGTACTACAGCCTGTGACAGAAAATTGTCTATGTGCAGGTCTTCGCATAGGCCCTATATATCGGTTCCTCTCTCCAATATTCACCGAAATTGTTTGAAATTTCGTATTTTAAGTTAATAATGGGTACTACAGCCTGTGACAAAAAATTGTCTATGTCGGTCCAGTTCTTTGCATAGCCCCCATATATCCTCCGTATATACGGTATTTTGATAATTTTAACTACATTAATCCGGATTTTTTCAAGTTTCGTATTTAAATATTGTAATGGCCTATCACAAAAATTGCCTATGCAGATCCACCTCTTCGTCTGGAATCACATTATAATGGCTCTATTCGCTATTTTTAAGATTTTAGCAGAAGTTTTAGCGGATATTATTTCTTTGAAAATTTCCTTCCAATTATGTAGGATATTCAGAACCGGTCGAACCTACTCCCTTTTTACTTGTTAAATATCCGTATTAACTTTACAAAAAGATTTAAATTTTAAAATTCTCGCAAACTTACCGGTGTGCGTTCGAATATGGCCCTGCAATAGCCACGGCCTAGAGAACTTTTTGCCACAATACTGACACTCACAGCCCTGGCTGTGGGTGCGAACATGCATCGAAAAGGCAGGCATAGAAACATAGACCTTCTCACAGAATGGACAATGTCTGGCCTTTTTATCCATAATCGACCTGAAATGTAAATCATCGCTAAAATTAGACATTTTTAAATCCTCCATCGACTCAAAATCGTTAAATGTTACGGACCTATGGGTTTGTCGATGTCTTGCCAAGTTCGATGATGTTGAATACTTTTTGCCACATTCAGGACATATGTGTTCATCATCGAGAAGATTAAGACCAGCATCCGTATGGGATTCCATGTGCATTTGTTGTAAGATCTCATCACTAGACGATGGCGTAGCTTGGTGTTGGTTATAGCATTGCTCATCACTGCTGCCACTGCTACTGCTGCAGCTGCTGTTACTGCTGCCGGATTTACTGCTACACGATGAGTGTTCATCGTAACGTGGTGAATTATCGGATATTGTGGATCTACGCAGTTTTTTGCGATCAAATACTTTATGGCTATAATAGTTGGAGTCATCATCCGAAGAGGAATAGAACGCGGCACCATTCGAATTCGAGTTACAAACATGAAGATTATGTTGGCTGCGTTGATGATCATGTAGATGTTGAAGGTGGTCATACTGCTGCTGTTGTTGCTGGAGATTATATTTTTCTTGCTCTGGGAAGGCATCAAATGACGGCACGGGTGATCTGTTTTCTGTCTTAATGGCGGCGGATATTTCACAATTTAGCATTGTTAAACACTGCCTCTTTTCATCGCCCTGATCTTCTTCGTCAGCTGCCTGTGAATGCCCTTGTATATCTTTCATCAGTCCATGTGCGGTTTTATGGTTAATTATCTCATTACGACGTTCAACGTTCAGTGACTCCATTTCGCCAATGTGATGGTGTTTCCGTGGCCACTTCTCCTCCGCGGCGGTGTTTAATCGACCAGCTGCCACTTCGGCTAATTGCGTCAAATTATAAAGCTCTTCGGGTATAACTGCTGTCTGTTCCTTGGTCATTTTGTACAATTGATCTGTAACAATAAAATAGTAAAGAAAACATAATTAAATACCAATTCATGGTTCTGCAGATAATATTAAAAAAAAAAAACAAGAATGTTTCGTTTCCAACAAATTAATTAGATTTCGATTTGAAATATCTTCATGACAATACAATTTGTCTTTTCATTTCCCGTTAATGAATTTCGAAAAAGAAAATAATAAGATTTTGAAACATCGATGACGTCGATGAGGAAGGAGGCTTGTATTAACATACATATGTACATATATCCCATACAACAAGTGCATTTTTGGTTTGCTCGATGACGGGGAAGGTGAAGGCGGAGAACACTTGTCAAAACAACCTGCTGCATCAACTTAAGTGCGTCATGTTATAAACGATTGAGCGGTATATAAATTAAAAGCTACCATTTATAAACAGCGATCACAAACTCATGCATATTGATGTACATTACATACACACATTCGGACATATCTCTGCTCATTTATTTCTAATGATTTGAATTGAGGCCAATTTTAATTGTTGTTTCCCTTTTGATACAGGGTTGGACAAAAGTTGGCATACTAAAATAATCACTTGTTTAACATATTTAGTAAATGAGGGAATGTTCCTAGAGAAAAAACTCTGTCATTCAGATTGGAAAACATATCTTTGAATGGCCCGTGATAAGCGATATTTTTCACCAAAAATCTTCAAACAATTAATAATTTTACAGTCCGGCGAAATGTTGCAGAAATTCAAGAAAAAAAAAACAAGTTAAAAAGAATTAGTCGGTTTTGCCGACAGATGTATACCCTCAGCCAATATTCGATCATTTAAATCTATTTTGACTTCTGTTATGATGATTCAAATTGTTGACTCTATGGAGTAGGTTTCGAAGGTTTGGGCTATATTGGTTATTTCCTTCACTTTATATGAGATATGTGATAATTTTTAGAAAAAGTTAAAATGTTCGTGAGGTACCAGATAAAGTCATCATCTTCACAACAGATCTTGTTTTAGCAAAAATGTGTTGATATAAATATTTAATATCGCTTTTTATGAGCTTCATGGATATTCAAAAAATTGTACCCTTTGAGGGTGAGGTATCAGAAGGAGTGGGCCGATTTATTCCATCTTCACACCAGACATTGGGTTAATAAAAAGATTGTGATGTGTGTACTTTGAAGACAATCGGACATCAAATTTTATAAAAGTTAAAATTATTCAAAATGTTGACTCTTTGTGGGGGAGGTACTCGATGGAGTGGCCCGATATTATCCATTGTAACACCTGACCTAGCATTCATGCAAATATTAGAATTTGCAAAGTTGGAGCAAAATCGGATTATTCTTTCCCTTTTTTTTTTTTTTTTTGAAAATTTCGTACCAGAAAGAGTGGGCCGATATTGCTCATTTTCGAACTTGATCTCTGTTTGATAATTATATTACGATGTACCAAATTTGGATTAAATCGGATACTCCTTTCAAAAGTTATAGTCCTAAAAAGAATTTAATCCAAAAATACATAAGGTCTAAAACCGTTATTTCGATGAGGGAAGTCATAATTTATAAAATGGTATATAACCTCTCTAGTCATATGGCTGAGGGTATAAAATACCCTCCACCGCTTTAGCTGTATCCTAAACGGAAAGTAGTAAGTAGATCTTAATCCCAAAAAAGTTTTGGATTCCTATGCCAAACTTTTTTAAGGGCCCATTTTTTGGCCCTCATAGTTTCTATTTCAATTACCATAATATTGAAGTGCAAAAAACATTTTGAATTTTTAGTAGGTTTAAGAATATTTGTTTTATATACTTTTGAAAAAGCTTACAGCTTTTGAGATCAAACTAAAACAAAAGTATTGACCATTGATATGCATATTTTTTCGTCCATTGTTTTTCACTTTGTTACCATTCAAGGCATCATTTTTAGATCACTAATAAAAGATCACCCTGTATGCTGTGTGAATTGATTGTGTGTCTGCATGTCTGTTTATTCAAACTCAAACAAACAATTTCAATATTCAAATTAATGACCAACAGAGCAAAGTAATGTCCGATATGATTTCGTTTAGTTGTTGATTTTAAAACAAGAACAACAACAATGCAAATAATTTTATATCGTTGCATATGATTGACTTTACACATGCATACACATACGTCCCTGCAGGCATGCATACACACATGCACACATTTGTATGTTCACAGCATTGGGCACTTAACCTAGTTCAATAATTGGGACGAAAACATGGTAGTGGCGCGAGAACAAGTGGATCTAAAAAATACTCAGTGCATTGCAAGGTGTTGTGCCAAATTGGGTGCGACAGACGAAAGGCGTAATCATGTGCTACGAAAATATGTAAAACTATTAAAAATTAATAAAAAAAATAAAAATATGTATGTGTAGCTTTTAAGTTTACATAAAGAGTTTGGTGGCGTTTTGATTATTAAATGTTTATTTTTTAACAAAAAGCAAGATGCCTTCCAAGGTGGCGTATGTTGAATGCAAGTCAGTAACTACCATTTTAGTGGTAAGCATACGTCACATGGTACTTGAAGAAAGTTAAATTCAAAGTGAAGCAAACCGTGTGTCACTTAATCCATAGCGAAAATAAACAGAGAAACTTTTTACCGATCAAAACAATTGTACTATTTTTATAAAGGAAGAATAGGCTTTGGTTGTAAAAATGTTTGGTTGTTTAAAGTTCTACGATAGAGCAACTGTTGTAACTTTTAGTAATTTTCGTAGCCCTTAAGTATGAAATTTCGAACTCACTTATATCCCTATTGATTAAAAAAAATATAAAATGTAATTTTGTACCATTTTGTACATACATAGTATGGAGGGTAAATTAAGTTCGTTATTCCCTTTGTAACTTATCGAAATAATTATTTTAGACCCAAAAATATATATATATATTATTGATCAGCGTAAAATTAGAAAGCTAAAAGATAGAAAGCTAAAATTTTGCACCGATCGGTCTTTTGTCTGCACGCAGGTCAAGTTCGAAGATGGGCAATATCGGTCCACGATATCGTATAGCCCCCATATAACGGTACCCCCGATATTCGGTATTTTGATGATTTTAACCACATTTTTCAATGGGATTGTCTGGAATTCTAAACAAGGAGTTCTTAGTGACTACTTTACCCCCTAAAAAAGAATTTTCTATATAGGTCCATGAAATCGTATAACCCCCATACAATGGTGCCCCCCTATATTCGGTATATTGATGAATTTAGTCACATTTTTCAATGGAATAGTCTGAAATTCCACGCAAGGAATTCCCTCTGAGTACTTTACCCCTTGGAAGAGATTTTTTTTATATAGATCCACGATATCGTATGGCTCCTATAAAATGGTGCCCCCGATATTCGGTACTTTTATTAATTTAGCCACATTTTCCAATGGAAAAGTGTGTACTTTACCCCCTGGAAGAGAATTGTCTATGTAGGTTTACGTTTTAATATATCACCCATATAACGCTACTCCGAGATATTCGGCATTTCCAGGATTTTCGCGACTTTTTTTTACCGGAATTGCGTCAAATTTCGTATTTCAAGTTCGCAATGGGTATTACAACATATGACAGAAAATTGTCTATGTAGGTCTACGTCTTGGCATAGCCACCATGCAAAGGTACCTCCCTTTATTCCGTATGTTGATGATATTAGCGACATTATTCATCGGAATTGTTTCGAATTTCGTATTTGAACCACCACATCTTCGTATAATATATATAAAAATAAAAATAGTTCGGCCCGGCCGAACGAAGCAGCTTTTTAATTGTTTATTTCCAAAATTTTCAATTTCCCAATCTATCGCCCAATTATAATTTTGTTCAATTTTGTAGTTCTTTGAACTTTCAAGACCATATTGTACCTTTCAGTACTTTTTCATTCTCTTAAAGTATCAAAAACCAGATTTATTTTTATTACTTTTCAACAAGAGTTTCCCGCGTAAAAAAATTCAAACGTCTAGCTCTTATCGATCGTAAAATAACAATGCAATATATATAATGTACACTCTCCAAGATTGGTACTTTATCTCACCTCTTCGTAGCAATAACATCCCTCAAAAGGGCCCGTTTGTTTAAAATTGTCAGATAATTCTATGTTTTAGAATTTCAGCTCTAAAATATTTAGTAGTTTCCAGTACTAGATTCCAAAACAATAAGTACGTTTTAGAAAAGAGTACTAATGTCCCAAAAACCAATTTATCTTTTATTCCGCATCAAGACCTACATACAACAATTTTAGCTCTAAAAGTATAGAGTTTTGTGCCAAAATTGAGTTTTAGGGACGAATATCCAAAGAGAACAACTAAATAACATTTTTTAGCGAAGAAAATTAGGAAAGAGAAGAGTGAAGGGTGGGATATTTTGGACACTACAGAGTTGCATAAAAGGGTTTTTAGAATTTTATTTATGTATGCACTGTTTAATAAAGATAACTCAAGGAAACCTTATTTCAATACAAGGTAACCCTAATATTTATAATGTATTTCATAATTACTTTGTCAAATCTAAGCTGTTTCTATCTCTGATTTTTGAATATACAATGGAAATATATATTGTGGCCATAAAATTTTGTCAAATATACAATTTCATACAATAAAATAATACCATTTTAATTCTGCCGTGGTTGCAGAAAAAACTCATATTTTCTGGCAATAAATTATACAATTTTGGCCAAAAGAATTTTAAGAATTTTTTGAAATATAAACAAAACCAATTCTCGTACTGAGTTTAATTTTTCGTAGCTCCTTTGATATTTAACTACCTTTTTGGCTGTAATATTATTTGTAATAAAAATCTGGAATCAAAAAAAAAGGAAAATATTTTCTAATTTTAGAAAATTGAAAATTGAACGAATCGCATACCTTAATGCCCATTAAAATTGTTAATTCTTTTTATTTTACTGCAAACTAATATTAATCGCCCCCACACAAAACATGCCTCATTAATATGAGCATTTTAATAAATTTCCTCATTTTTATTTAGGTGAAAACGAAATTACACATGCAATCGCAACCCAATATCGGGAGGAATGGGATTTCCAGAGACTGTTGAAAATAAGCACTCACCGCTATAATAAATATAAATGTATTTTAAATATTATTATTGAAGAAAGTTCAAAGTCCTTTTAATGGAAAAATTCTTGGTAAACAGAAACGCAAAAATATATATGAGTGTGTATGTGTGTGTACATATGGGGGTGGAGTAGCTGTCGAGTGCAACCCGGTGTAAAGACCATTTTTAACCACCAGCTAGCTTCACTTGCTGCATCAACGTTGCCATCATCAACATCACTGGATGGGATCTCAAAATGTTTTCTATTTTTACGATCGATGTTTTAAAACAAAAACTTTGAAAATAAACAGCGTTGTGGGAAAAGAAGGGCATTTCGTACAGTATTTTGACATTTACAGCCAAATATCGTTTATATACATATATACTATAGTACGTTTACACTGTACTGCAGTTAGTAAGTAAGTAATAGCGCGTTTAGAAACAGTTTAGGATTTATTCCACCAGGTTTACGGACCGGATTCCCGCCGATGATTTAAGCTAGTCAGAAAAGCGTTTTATGTATTCTCACCTTAATTGACTGACTGACTTAACGATTCATCAGCACCCAGACGAAACGGCTTAAGCCAGAATCCTGAAATTTTGGGTGAGGGTTAATCTTGGTATGAAGTTGTCAGATAACGTAAAGATGATGTAAAGATGTAGTTCTCAGAATGTGTTCTCATGTACACTTAGTACTAAACGGTACTAAATTTTGTACAATTCAAATTTGGAGAAACAGATAGAGCTGGAATCTTGAAATTTGAAATTAACATTACTGGCGGAAGGTAGGATTGGGTAGTAGGTTTTCAAAATTTGTCCCAATGTGCACAAAAAGTACTAAATTTGGTACAAATTCGTTTTGGGTGAACCGATAGAGATGGGATGTTGAAATTTTGGATTGTAGGGAGGTAATTTTAGGAACGCATACTTATGTGTACTAAGTGGTACTACATTTGGTACAACACATAATACGTGCTAAATTTGGTGGTGTTTTGTGCTGTTTGGTTGATACTTGGCGGGGGATTTGGAAATACGTACTTAAATGTACTAAATTGTATTAACGTTGGTATTTGGGGAAGGAATAGGGCTAGAAATCTGAAATTCGGAGTTGGAGTCTTTGATGTTGTGTAGGATACACAAACTAAAGTGTTTTTTCGAAATACGAACAATTGGAGAACCGAAAATTTGGGAGAACCGATAGAGCTGGAATGCTGACATTTTGGAAACAATATTGGAATCCAGACATTTTGAAATAAGATTTTAATTGGATTGTAGAACTGAGATATGTAGTTAGTTATGGAAATTTGTACACATGTGTACTAAATAGCACTACATTTGGAACTAAATGGTACTAAAATCCGAAATTTGGCATTAAAATCACAGTTAGTGTGTTGGGTTGAGGTTTGGAGGTGGTTTTGGAAAGTATAAGTATTACAATTGGTATTTGAGTAAGGGATTGATTTGGAAGTAAAAAATTTGGCATTCGTATCACCTTTTGTGTGGTTTGGTTGATACTTGGCGGGGTATTTGGATATACGTAATAAAAGTGTTTCTAAAAAATATTTTTTGAAAAGTAAAGTTATTTAAAAATTCTCTTAAGGATTTCTCTTTTATTATTTTGTCCACCTATGATTTAATACATTCCCAATCCACTGAATGAATGTATATTCATATTTCCGATTACGAAGTAGCGGCTATTTGCTAATTATAAAAATATTTGTAATTTTTAACACCCTGCACCAAAATGAAGTGTATTGTCAGGGGTGGACATTTCGGCTGTTGTTTTTTCTGTGGCAACACTAGGTACGAGTAAAATATATCCCATGTTTATGCATAAACCAAAAATCCCTATTTTGAATTGAAAGAATTAATAAAAAACATTGAGAAATGTAAATTTAAACCTTTATTCAGCTTCACATTTTCATAAGATTTTTGGCAAGTTTCAGCCAAACCCAGCTAACTTTTACTCTACTGTAATATTAATGACAAATTCTACCATGCTTAATAGTCCAAAGAATAAAACTGGGGAAGTGAATTGGCCTATTCGTCCCAATTTTGGGGATTTTTTTACCGACAAAAATCGGAAACCACATTTTTCAGTAAGTTTACAACTAAATAAGATAGTCACTAAGTCCTAAAGAGAAATATTTCGTAAGACAAAGTTCGGAGCGATTTTACATAGTTCAAAACTCTACAAAGAACAATATAGGGATGTATTTTCAAACCAAATTGAGTTGCACTTTCACAGCCCTCAAAGACAGGAAACTAGCAGGGACAGGACATTGAACGAAATTTTCGATACAAAAAATAACAAATTAAATATCCAACATTTCAAATTTCATTTAATGCAATTAAACAGTTTCTCTATTTTTCGTTTTTGTTTTCTTTTAATTTTCTTTATGGTCATTCTGTGCGTGCGAGTGTGTGTGTTGTGTTTTTGTACTTGATTTTAATTTGAAATTTATATCATTTAATTTATTATCATTAAATCTGACATTGATTGTACAATTTAGCTAAGGAGGCGCAGAAAACGATGCTTGTAAATTTTCAAAGACTCATAATTTTGTGTCACAACGAGTTTTACGCGTCCGTTCCGTCCGACGTGTATCTAGTTGGATATGTGTGTGTGCGAGTACATAAATCTCAAAGTGCATTTGAAAATCATCAGCATACGGTGTTGGAATATGAGATATGCATAAATAGACACACAAATATTCAATTTCGTACTAGCAACAATGGTACCGCAAGGGTACCGTTGCAAATTCGTCCATGTATATTATTTGTGTTCTACATTCCATGGCATTTATTTTGGGAACATTCAATTGCATTAATATCGGCAAGTGATTGGTTGGATGTGAGTTTTCCAATTTTAAAAGAGTTCATTTTTCTTTATTCTTTATTGCATTTATGTTTTGAAAATGCATTGACACCTTTGGAACTTCCGGATATTGGGGTTTGGGGGCACAAAATTGCACAAACGAAATTTAATTTTAATGCCAGCAAATTAAAATGGCACTTATTCATAGTGAACTAGTAAGGAAAGGCCAAAAGTTGGGCGGGGCCGACTATATAATACCCTACACCATCCTGCGTATTTAGTTGAGTTCCCGTAACAAAAAAGTTTATATTGGGAATTCATGTGAAGTAGATCATACCAACTATGAACCAAATAACATTGTTGTATAATGCATGATATGACTTCGGTAAGGATTATATTAAAAAAAATATTTATTGGAGCAATAGATATACCGGACCGAGTTTCACTAAATGGAAAAATTCGCTTGAATATCAAAAAATCTATCCAATTTGGCCTGGTATATATGGTGAGCAATAACCGTAAAATCGGATGAAGTTGTATATCGAAGCTATTGAAAAATCTGAACCGATCTCGATAAAATTTGGCAGAGGTATTTTCCGAGCGCATATGAAACATACGTATGGGAGCTATAGCTATATCTGAACCCATATTCACCAAAATTTGAAGCACCTCTTTTTAGGCTAAATTACGTCAGAAAAGTAAAAATTCAGTCCATTTGGGCTGATATTAGCCATTTAGTGCACAAAAAACATCAAATCGGATTAATATGGGAGCTAATCCAAATCTGAACCGAACTTGACAAAATTTTAAACACTTATTTCTGAGCTATATCTAATATCTGGTACCAAAGATTATTGTATTCGAGTGCATATTACGCATGTGAGGGACTTTAACACTGAATCGGATTAAACATATATATGGGAGCTATAGCTATATCTTAACCGATTTTCACCAATATTTAAAGCACTTGCTTTAGGACTGAATTCAGTCGGAAATGACAAAATGCGGTCCATTTGGGCTGACATTAGCCACTTGGCGCACAATAAACCTGATGTGGGAGCTACAGCTATATCTGAAGTGATTTACACCAAAAATCTAGGATGAATTTATCCGTAATTGCTAAAATTTAGTCCAATTGGGCTAATTTTAGCCATTTAGTGCACAATAAACATGATATCGGATAAAGCTATATATGGAAGCTATATCCTAATCAGAACCGATCCGAGTATTTTTGAGCTCCATAAGTTATCTGTTTCGAAATGTCATCCTTGTGGAGTGAATATTACGCATGTTTGGGACTTAAAACCCCTAATCGGATGAAACATATATATGGGACCTATACCTATATCTGAACCGATTTTCTCCAATATTTAAAGCACTTGCTTTAAGGCTGAATTCAGTCGGAAATGACAAAATGCGGCCCATTTGAGCTGACATTAGCCATTTGGCGCACAATAAACCTGATGTGGGAGCTATAGCTATATCTGAAGCGATTTACACTAAATTTGAAGTACTTATTTCTAGGATGAATTTATCCGTAATTGCTAAAATTTAGTCCATAGTCCATAAGTTATCTGTTTCGAAATATCATCCTTGTGGAGTGAATATTACTCATGTTTGGGACTTAAAACCCCTAATCGGATGAAACATATATATGGGACCTATACCTATATCTGAACCGATTTTCTCCAAATTTGATGTACTTGCTTCTAGACTGAATTCAGTCGGATGTTTCAGGTCCTTTGGACCGATATTGACCATTTGTTGTACAATTAACGAAATCGGTTGAAGATATATATTGGTGCTATATCTAAATTTGAACCGATTCTCACCAATTTCAATGGGGTTTGTCCTTGGGACAAACAAATATTGTTTTCAAAATTTCATCTCTATCGTATAAAAAATGCGACCTGCATTTTGTTCACAAAAATACATGGACTGACATGCATAAATCGACTCAGAAGTGATTCTATGAAGATTCTCAAAAGTAATTATGGGTCTATCTCGCTTCCTTCTCCTTGTTACAAACAAATGTACAAAGACATAATACCCTTACTACGATGTGTTGTAGGTTATAAAAAGCAATACATTAAGGATTCCAATTTACAAAATAAAAATGTTTTCAATTAGCTTGCATAAAAATATATCACCGGAAACCTAAAAGACTTGATTGCAAGAAGTTCGGCAAGAAATTGTAAACTCTGAGTAAAATTACTGTAAAAATGTCTCTCTCGAATCGCTCTCTTTTTCCAAAACTTTTACGTTTTTAGGGATTGGGCCAATATGTCCCATTTTTGCATCTGACCGCAGTCTTATTTTAATATTACCAAAAAAGTGGAACGATATTGCCAATCTCCGAATTTGAACTAATTTTGGTAAAAATATAACCATGTATAAACTTTGGACCAAATCGGATATGTAATGTAACATATAATGTTGTATTTTATTCCTATTAAAGGACGGGGTTCTATTTCGGATAAAATCCATTTATAAATACCTGTGAATATCC